AGACAAGGGCCAGCAAGATAGATCACTGGATAAGGTGTTTGCTGCTAAGTCTGATGACCTTTGTTTGATTCCTGGAATCACAGGGTGAGGAGAACCAACAGTCAAAAGTTGTCCACGCACCTCCACACAAGTGCTGAAGAATAACACCCAAGACTGACCACTGGCCCCCACATGTACACATAAACATGTGTACCCATAATAACATGAAGCCACATTTGCACACATGTGTGCAAAAAAAAAAATCATGCACATAAAACACAAGTACGGGCCTGGTAAAACTCCAAAGTATTAAAGTAATCCCACACTTAAGCGTCCTGAGGCAGGATGTCACCACAACAACCAGATGATGGGCTTCACTGGCCACCAAAAAGCTGACATTCACCACTCAGGGCCCAAAAAGCTATACCTCTCCAGGTCTACTCTCTAGGTCCTGTGTCCCCAATGACTGCTCCCCTGGGTATCTTGAGGGACCAAGAAGGGAAGAAGGAGGGGTTTCTTGTACAACAAGAAAATCGAAATCTAGCTAAAAGTTAGCTTTTATGCTTACATTCTATAAATGATTCTGCAACCATGTTGTAGAATATTAGGGCGTGCTGGAAATAGCGTACCTCAAATAGGAAAATGGTTTGTGTTCACCCAGTTCCAGAAGCCAATTTTCAATTGCTTAAAATAGTCATGATATTTTACCAAGGTAATTATACTCTTAGCTATCAGTAACAATTAACTCCTTAGACTGGAGCTGCTTAATAAAGGTCTCAAGATGAAATTGCGCATTCCAAGCACTGTAAATTGAAATGTCAAGCAGGCAAAGAAGCCCCTCAGACAGGACACTGAGGCTGAGCACCATAGCTGGGTCCAGGGCTGGGGGGTAGTTGGCTGGGACCCGAGTTCTCCCCTTATGGAGGCAGGGTAGAGATCCTGGGGGGCAAGGTCGGGTAGGCATGAGCAATTGAAAGCACCCAAGGAAGGACCAGGGGAAGCCTCCACAGGGGACACAGAAAAAGGGGCACTGCTTCACAACAGGCAAGTCACAATGCAGTCCAAGATGGCCAGGCCAGGCACTTAGGAGGTAGATACCAGCAGAGGAAATCGCATTGCCCAAGCCATTATGTGGCAAAGTTCTGGGGGCCTCCCCAGAGCAGCCTAATGAACAGTTTCATCACGCCAGCCTACCAGTAAGTCAAATCCCTGCATCCCCAGCCCAGAGCTGGGAAGGCCATGGTTACTGACCCATCCAACCCTCTTCTGAGGGACAGTGAGTATAGATAATCAGTCAGTATCAGGTAATCAATAACTACTTTCCTACTCACTCAAAGTGAGGCTGGGAGCCTAGTATGGGTCAGGGTGAGGCCAATTTGGACCAGAGACCCATCGGTTTTCTATCTGCAGAGAAAAGTAGAAATTTCCTGACTTGAGAACACCAGGTGGGGAAGGATGCCAGGCATAAGCCTCTTGGAGTCAGGGGATCTGCAGGGACACCACAGGAGCTCAGCCTCCACAGCAACAGGGGTCCATACTACCTCAGCACTATTGGAAGCAATGCCCATTGTCACCTAAGTCCTAAACCTGAAATGAAGCCAGAACAGTCACCAAGTTCACAGAGCTCTGATGAAACAGCAGAGGCCACAAACAGTCACAGGGAGAAACACCCCCTCCCAAGAATATACTGAACCATGTGGGTGTAAATACCTCCCCCCGCCATCAGACATTAGAAAGCCGATGGCTCTTACAAGACAGAATGGCTGGAGCTGCCCAGCCCACCCAAGGGATTCTAGCTCTTCAAGTTCCATTCCCACTATTCCAGCACAGAAGATATCTGAGCTTTCAAACCACAGCTTCTATACTTCCCATCCCTGATCAAGTATTAACAGGTCAAGTGACTCACACAAGATGTCCAGGCTGTATGCCTAGAACTAGGAACAGGTGGCCAGGCAAGCATGGAACTCCACAGGCGTAACTGAAAGCCCAGACATCCTAAGAGCTTTGAAATTTTATTTCATTTTATTTTATTTATGGGCTGGAGAGATGGTTCAGCAATTAAGAATATACACTGCTCTTCCATAGGACCTAAGTTCAGTTCCTGGAACCTATGCCAGACAGCTCATGGCCACCTTTATAACTCCAGCTCCAGGGGATCCTACACCCTCTTCTGGCCTCTGTGAACACTGCAGTAATGTACACAAACCCAAACACACATACAATAAATAAAAAATATTTTAGAAAAAAGATAAATGATCATGAAAATAATTGAGAATTTAAACTTTTATTATTATGTGCACACATGCATGCACATGTGGAAATCGAAGGACAACCTCGTAAAGTCTTTTCTCTCCTTCCACCATGTGGGTTCTGGAGATCAAATTCAAGTTGCTAGCTTTACCCACTGAGCTTTCTTGTCCCCTCAATTCCCAGAAGCTTTTAAAAACAGAACAAAAGGGGTGTGGTGGCACATGCTTTTAATCCCAGCTATTGGGAGGTAGAGGCAGTCTTTAAGACTGAGGCCAGCCTGGTCCACATAGTGAGTTTCAGGTCAGCTGGGGCTACAGGGAGACCTATCTCCAAAAGAAAAAAAAAAAAAAAGAAAGAAAGAAAGAAAAAAAAAAAAAAAACAATTTTTCTAAAAAGCCAGAGGGGCTGGCACGGGAGACCTATCTCCAAAAAAAAAAAAAAAAAAAGAAAGAAAGAAAGAAAAGAAAAGAAACAACAATTTCTCTAACAAGTCAGAGGGCTTGTCAAAGTGGGAAGACCCAGGCATTGGGTGCACCTCTACCGCACTGGCTAGGGCGGGGGGACAGGAAGCAGGAGAAGAGCATGTACTGACACAGTCTCCTTCCTGGCCAGCACACAGCACAGGCAGCTTGGTCTCCTGGCCTGTACTACACAGAGCCTCCCTGGGAGGGAGAAGGTCTTTCCTACTGAATTTGTACAATGCTTCAAGAAGCCTGGTACCCTGAGCCCAGTAGTAGGCTCTGTAGGGCACATGAAAGGCCTCAAGACCATTCGTTGAGCCAGCTTTTTTGAAGACTGAAAAATGATTCTGAGATCACAGAGAGTGGTCAAGCCCCAGCCCTAACCTCCCTCTCTTTGTTCAACAAGAAGTCTGCAGGCTTCCAGGTCATGGGACACAAGCACATCGTTCACTTAAGATCTCCACTGAGCAGGTCTCTCCCAGATAACATAGCCTCACTCCCTTACCTGACTCCCAACAGCAGCCTGTCTTCCCACCCCACAGACACACCCCTACACCACTGTGGTATGCTGCTCCATGAGCCGGTGGACCAGGGCATCTGCCACCTCCTGCCTCCATGCACCTGCATGCTGACATCAGGCAGCTGACCACCTATTTTCCCCAACCATGGCTCTGTATGGAAAGGGCCAGCTCTGCTCACACGCTCCGGTAAACAGTAAATCCTCCAGGTCTTTGCTTAAGCCTCACCTCTGACAGCACCTCCCATGTCACTGTGAGCCGCACTGTTTGTCTTTGTCACAGCTGGTGAGAGCTTACGGCTGAGTGCTCTGCCTCTTTCCAACTGCACTGTCAAGCCTGAGGGCCATGACCACATATACCCATCACATGGCCTTCACATGGATACCAGTGACAGGCATTGGGCAGGAAAGGAGGATGGCCTGGCAGAGTAGCCATGCTGACAGGCCAAGTGCTGAAGCTGAGCTGCTGCAGGCTGAAAATCTGGCCAGCTTTCTTTGTGAGCCACCTGTAGGGCCTCTGGAGCCTGGAGAGGGGACTCAACCCCTTCCAGTACTAGGAAGCCCTGCGTGAAGCCAAGAAAAATGTGAAGTCTTGTATCTGTCTGTCTGTCTGTCTACATGTACCATGCTGTGCAAAAGTTAAGGGACAACTTGTAGAAGTCACTTCTCCCCTTCTACCACATGGGTCCCAGGACTCAAACTCAGATCATCAGACTTGTCAGCAAGTACCTTTAACCACTGAGCAATCTCAGCAGCCTGCAAGGTCTCCCAGTAAGAGACAGAGAGAGGCAGGGAAAGGGCTTTCAGAGGCAGCTGGGAAATTGCAGTGGGAAGTGAGAGAAAAATGACTCATTTTACAACAGCTTCCTAACCAGGAGGTGCCAGGGACAAAAAAGCCTGGTTTCCATCAGACAGCAAACAGCACAGACAGAGCTGGTCAGCTCAGGGGTACATCATCTTCCCTGGTTCCACATCCACACTGTAAGGCTGGGTCTACTACACCCACCCTCATCTGGAGAGAACCTGGGGACAGATTTGGCTTTTCCTTCCTCGAGCTATGAAAACTCAAGAGTCCATGTTACACTTTCAATAACACTAGGAACCTCTCATACCCAAAGGCCTCAGTGTATCATGTAACTCATCAGAAGGCCTTTCTGACAGATGCTGAAAGAGATCTGGGCACCAGCACAAGCCCACCACTAATCTGGGAACCACAGCACTCACCCTATGCACCCGCAGACAAGTTGCTACCTCATACCACTGCAGGATAAAACCCACTCCAGGTTCCTCTGCTGTGCTCGCCACAAAGGACAAAGGCCTCCTGCCACTGAGGAGAAACAACGGTTATAGGAAAAGGTCCCCTTTGACACTACACCAGACCTGGAGGTCAGGACACCCAGGGACAGTTTTTGGAAGACTGGTCTTGTTGTTTTGAGATGGCCTGTCCATAGAGGCCAGGCTGGCTTTGAACTTCCCATTTCCCTCCCTGTCCCAGCCTCCCAGGTTCTCAGATTACAGGTGTGTGCCACCACTCCAGGCACCGAATCACTCTTTCTCAAATCTGGATCAAGTGTACAGCCTGACCAAACCATCCCAATACAGCCTGCAGCAGGGTAAGGACCAGCCCTGTGCCTACCCTGTGGTAAGGGCAACTGTGGACACAGCAAGAGAAAATACAGTGTGGACCATGAGTGAGAGAGGCACACAGCTTCAGAGGTCTGGACAAAGGTGGAGAGCCAGAGAAGGCCAGGCGTGGGAAGAGCAGAACCCAGCTGTCCTTGAGTGAGCTGTACCTTGGTCAGCAGCTGGTTGCGCTTTTGGAGTCTTCGGGCCTGGGCCTCGTGCATCTCCCGCTTCTTCCTCTCCTCCAGCAGCTGTGCACTGACCTGCCGGACTTCATCCTGGAGCTGCTGCTGGACCTTCTCCAGTCCCCGGGCACTGCAGGGAAGGCAAGAGGGCAGAGTCATGAGGTCTGGCCTGACCACCTCCTCACCAGGGTTAGGGATGCACACCTCCCAGCACGAGCCTCGAGGAGACATCCTAAAATAGAGCTGCACGTGCATCTACCTCGCTGCCGTTTCCTCGTTCCTGAATAGCTACTTAGTGCCTTTCAGGAGGTTCTGGATTTCAAATAGACACCCAGGGTGATCCCAGAACATGGTGCAAGGGGGAGGGAGACGCGACTCCACACACAATGGGAAAGATTGTCAGTAGCAAGGCACTTCAGGACGGCACTTCTGAATGAGCTAAATTGCCAGCGCAAGCACTTCCCATGTGAGTCACAGTCGGCACAGATGTGAAGCATGGGGGGGAGCAAAGCAAGGCCCCCGCGGCAGGCGCTGGGCCTGAAGACTTTCTGAAGAAGAAGCCCAGCCACACACTAGGCCCTGGGCTTGTGGAATGAGGAAAGATGCCAGGACATCCTCTGGTGCTGGCACCTGACCATCTCTGCTCTCCATTATGTATGAATGGGTTTTTGGAGACAAAGGGCTGAACTTAGGGCCCCATGAGTGCTAAGCAAGACCTCTGTCACCGAGCCATGCTCCCAGATCCTAGCCTCACACTGGGGGATTCTAGGCAGGTGCTCTACCACTGAGTCGCATCCCCAGTCCCTTATTGCAGGATTCTAAGTGCTCTACCACTGAGCTATATCCCTAACCATCTATCTTTCAATTTTAAGATATGATCTTATTAAGTTTTCCAGGTTGAATTTGAACTTGGAATCCCCTGCTTCAACCTCCAGAGAACCCAGGCTGTGTCACTAGGCCTAACTTCCTTTTTCAGTATTCCCTTTCTTCTCTTGTGTCTCTGTGGCTCTCAACCTTGGTCACTTTTCCCCTACATCAAGAGAAATCTCCCATAGTCCTTGATCAGCTATCTCTTCAGACTTCAGAGAACCAGGTCTCTGAGGGCTGCCCACCACTTCAGGTTGACCTCAAATATCCTGGTATAGAACCAGGAAGGGACCCTTGCTACTTCTCAATGCTACTATCTCCTGTCACTGCCTAATGCAGCTTCTGTGCTTGTTGGTCTTTCACAGGACAGCTCAGCACGTGGAAGGCATTACCCAGGAACACCATGGCAAGAATCTATCAGTGCTCGAATGCTTTCCCCTCACCCCATGGGCCCTGAGCTCCAGCCCACCCTTACAAACATACCTGAGGAAGACAAGGCCATGGCCAAGAGAAACAGCTCAGACAAAGGGTGTGGTTGGGGTAGAACCAACCCCAGCAATGAAGATGGTGCAATACCAGCTGCTTGATGAACCGACAGCTGGAACAGGGTGTTTGTGCTGTCAGAAGTAGGAAACTCATTCCAAAAGGAATCCTAAATAATCCTCAAAAACTAAACATGGGGACTGGGGAGACGGTTCAGCTGGCAAAGTGTGTGCCTCATAAACATGAGGACCTGAGTTCTGACCTCCAGAATCCATGCAAAAAGCTGGGCACAGCAGCACATGCCTGTACTCCCAATGATGGTGAGATAGGAGGTGGAGACAGGCCTATAAACTCACTGGGCAGCAGGCCTGGCAGACATGGTCAAGTCCCAGGCCAATGAGAGACCATGTCTCAAGCTAAAGGTAGATGATGCCTGAGGACCAAGAGGAGGTTGTCCTCTGACCTCCATATGTTTGCTATGCATATGCTGTGTGTGTGCACACACACACACACACACTCTTAACATATAAGCAAGGTATCAGAATTCTGTTGTCAGATGACATCTATAAAACTCTTACAAAGTGACTGTAGCCAGAACACTGAGGCTACTTTTATTTATTTTTATTTAGTTTTATGTATATGAATTTTGCCTCTGTGTGTGTGTGTGTGTGTGTGTGTGTGTGTGTGTGTGCGTGCGTGCAATGTCCATGGAGGCCAGGAGAGGGCATCAATCACCTGGGTCTGGAGTTAGGGACAGTTGTTAGCTGTCAAGTGGGTGCTGAGAACTGAATCTGGGTCTTCTGCAAGAGCAGCCAGTGCTCTTAATAGCTGAGTCATCTCTCCCCCAGGCTACTTTGAAAATGGACAAATTGGGCGTAGGGCCTTCAAGGGACATGAGTAGCCCCAGATCATTCGAACACCCAATTATTTTTGTTGGCTTTGATTACACAATTTCAAGAAAACCTGAATTCACAAGGGTGTCAGGGAGTGCTTTTGTTAGAGGTGGTTGCTACCGCAGATACATCTATTTCACATCTGAATGAACACAGAGTTTTGTAAATTATAACTTAGTAAATTCACTTAAATAACTGGTGTATAATTTGAAAGTGAATTTAAGTCAAACATTCATGAAACTTTAAAAGGGACTTGCACTGCTTGTGTGTGGCAGGGAACCCTCCTCTGGGCACCCTGCGTGAACACAGTACCACAGTCAACTTTGTAATATCAAGGGTGCTGGAATCATATCAGCCACTTTGTCTCAGGAAGGCTGGAGCTGTCTTTTAACCCACTGAGCGTCAGCCACCTGCTACCTGCATCTTTAGGTGTGCCACAACCAAAAACATACAGCAAGTGCAAATATTCTTGGGAAGCAGGCGTACGCAGGGGCTATTCTGAGTTCCAGTTCAATTTAAAACTATTCATAGACCAATTTAATAATCAAGGACTGTGAAATCGACTCTTGAATCATTGAATTCAGGTGGGGAGGTTCACAAGCGCCTTAAATCACTGCTCCAAAGTGGGTAATTTAATTGGAAGAATGGCAGCATTCGCTCTGCTGTGTAAGAATGAGGCCCACAAAGACAGAAGTGTCACCGTTCAGATGACAGGGCTCGGCATGATCCAGGGTAGGACTGAGGAGTCCAGGGCCCCTCTGAGAAGCTATCCTTAGCACAAGGGTTCAGAGAAGCCTTGCAGAAGACTGCCAAACCCAAGCTGGAATTTGGGGACTTCCAGCTGCCCAGGGCCCTGCCCACACAAAGCAGATGTAAACACACCAAAGGCCATGCCATAATGGCCACCTTGAAGGGACTCTTGGGGGATCAAGGCTCAATTTAACAGAACCAGGCAGCAGGACCAAACCCTAGGAAATCAGACTCTTGTCTGAGCCAGCTACCAACCTCCATACTGCAGCTGGGCCTGGTTACCTAAGGGAGGTAAGGACACAGATAAGAGGTGGCCCAACCTTAGCCCTCACCCAAGTCAATATGTGAAAGCACAACTACAGTCTGTGTGCCCAGGGCTCCACAGGAGAGGACAGGGTCTTTAACAGTGTAGGAAGGCCCAGCGTTAAACATTAGATTTTAAAGAAATCTCTCCCCCCATTTCTCTTCCCCCCGTCCCCTGGATCATCCTTCCCTTCTCCTCCCAGGAGTGATGGATATCAAACCCAGGACCTCAGGCATGCTAGGCAAACACCGGACCATTAAGCTGCAGCCCCAGCCCCAGGCCTTCTTCACTCTTCTTGTGTTGAGTAACTGTACACACATGTGTTCATTTGTGGAAGAAGAGGCACAATACAAGATCTCAGAAGAACACATGGCCCTACAGAAGATTCCAGAACAGCAGACAGGACTGCAGACCGTGGCACAGCCCACAAAAGAAGAGACAAGTCTTTTCAAGACCCATCAGGCTGGGTGTAGTCAGGGCTTCAAATCAGGGCTGAGACCAGGTCCTAATCATGCTCCACCTTACTTTTTTTTTTTTTTTCAACAGGGTCTCTCACTGAACCTAAGGCTCACTGTTTCTACTAGGCTAGCTGGCCAGTGAGGCCCTGGGATTCGCTTGTCTGTTTCCCAAGGCTGGGGTTATAGGGGTATATCACTGTGCCCAGCTTTTACATGGGTTCTGGGATCTGAATTCAGGTCCTGTGATTAGACAGCAGGTGCTTTACTCAGTGAGTCATCTCCCTAGTCCTCATACTCTCTCTTTATAGCAAAACACAATTCATCCATTGTGGAGGGCAAGCCAAGATGTCAGAGGAATGCATGGTCTTCCTACAGGAGACCCCATACAGCAGGTAGGTGCAGCAAATACCACAGTCCCAATTCAGGTGACATGTGGAAGCAATTAGGCAGGAGGCCCTAGGTTGAGCCAGGCAGTGCACCGGGCCCTGCACCCTTCTCTGGCACCTGCCGCAGACTAACAAAGGTGCCAGCTGACATGGCAGACAAGGGTAGAACAGAGCAGAGCAGAACAGGAAGCAGTGAACTGGAGCTGAGGCATTGGCTGCCTCACTGGCAATGAAGAAAGGAGTGTTTCGATACCCAGCAAGAAAGGGTAGAAGAAATGGGACGTCCTACAAGGCAGGCAAAATGCTCATGACAGTCAGGGGATGGGGGACAATGGGAGCTGTCTTCAGCGTTCAGAGTCAAAGTCCTTGCCCAGCAGGCAGTGAGGACAAGGAACAAAGTCAGAAACAGAGATGAAGTACAGTCAGAGAGAAACCTCATGGAAGCTCAAGAGGAAGAGAGAGGTACGCCAGCCCTATTCAGATGCCTGCTGAACAGAGGCAACAGAAAGCAGGCTGGTAGAAGGAAAGTGAGGGTCCAGAGGTACTGGGTCCTGCATAAAAATGGGAAGTGGCACAGAGGTGGGTGAGCATGCCCCAAGGACAGGTTCCATGGAGGGGACAGAGACCTACAGACAAGCAAGGTGCAACTTAGCATGAGAAGGGCAGAGATATAATGTCCAGTTAGGACACCGAAGCCAGGCCCACTAAATGGCCCTACATACCAAGGGGCTCAGGGACACAAGAACTGAGGGATGCAGGATGCAGGGACACGGGGATTGAGACACGCAGGGATGGGTGACACATGGACCTCAGGTTGAAGGGACCTCTGCCACAGCGCCCCATGAGCACTACCAAGAGTCTCTACAGCTCGAAGCATTTGGGCAACCTCATCCCAACTCACAGCCCCATCGGCTCCCCAGGTTGCTGGTTCTCCCTCCTGCCTGTCCCCCTAGGGAGGTTCTCTCCATTCAATTCCAGCCTTTCTTCCA